AGATTAAAGTGGGTAAAGCCATGTTTGAAGACGACCATTGAAGAGGATGTGCTAGAGCATATCCAGGCTGCGAAAACTCCCAAAGAAGCGTGGGATACGTTCGCCAAGTTGTTCCCTAAGAAGAACGATACGAAATTCCAACTCTTAAAGAATGAGTTGTTGTCAGTGGCGCAACGTGACATGACAATCACACAGTACTTCCATAAAATGAAGTCACTATGCCATGAGATTTCTGAGTTGGATCTGGAGGCTTTTATTGGTGATACTAGGATGAAGCGGATCATTATCCATGGTTTGAAGCCAAAATTCAGGAGTTTCATTGCTGCCATACAAGTATGGCAAACTCAACTATCGCTCGTAGAATTTGAAAATTTGCTAGTTGGTCAAGAAGCTTTAGTTAAGCAATTGGGAGGAGTCTCGTTGAAGAATGAAAAAGAGGCACTTTATACCAATAAAGGTAGGAGGAATTCTAAGCAGCATGCCGTCGTTGGATCCAAAAAGAATAATGATAAGGTGAGAAGTCATCAAGGTGAAGGGAGCATTCGTGTAGGTGGAGGTTCTAAGAACCATGGCAATGGCCAAAAATTTGAAGGGAAGTGCTACAACTGTAAGAAAAAGGGTCATATGACAAAAGATTACTGGTAAAAGAAGAAGGTCATTGAAAGTAGTGCTACTACTTTCAAAGGTGAAGACGAATGGGATGATAATGCATTCTTTGCTGCCAATGAAGAGGAACTAGCCCTTTCAGCAACAACATTCAATCAGATTAACTATGAGAACGATTGGATCGTTGACTCCAGCTGCTTAAACCATATGACTAGTGATAAAGAGAAACTGTATAACTTGTCAGAATACAAGGGAAACCGGGTGGTGGTGACAGGAAACAACTGAAAGTTACCAATAGCTCACATCGGTAACATAGTAGTCTCTTTCTAATGTAGTGATATTGAGGTGCCGCTCCAAAATGTCTATCACGTCCTAGGTATGAAGAAAAATCTACTCTCAGTTGCACGATTAGCATCTTTTGGCCATTTTGTTCTATTTGGTCTGCAAGATGTGAAGGTATATCGGGACCTCGAGATTATAGAAGAGCCGGTGATGAAAGGATGGAGATTGGAGTCAGTTTACGTTATGTCTGCAGAAACTGTATATGTAGACAAGACAAGAAGGAACGAGATGACAGGCTTGTGGCACATGCGGCTAAGTCACATTAGTTATTCCAGGCTAGATGTGATGATGAGAAAGTCGACGCTAAAAGGACTTCCACAACTTGAGGTGAGAAGAGACACTATATATGCAGGCTGTCAGTATGGAAAAGTGCACTAGTTGCCATATGAAGAGTTCAAATTTAAAGCGAAGGAACCATTAGAGTTGATTCACTCTGATGTGTTTGGACCAATTAGACAAGCTTCCATTGGTAAGATGAAGTACATGGTGACCTTCATTGGCGACTTCTGAAGGTATGTGTGGTTTACTTTATGAAGGAAAAATTTGAAACTCTTTTAAAGTTTAAAGAGTTGCAGGAGGAAGCGGAAGCGGAGATTGGTAGAAGAGTTCATTGTTTACACACTCACAATGGGGGAGAGTACACCTAAGATGAGTTCTTAGATTTCCTTCGGGAGTGCAGAATATATCATCATTATACATGTGCCAACATTCCACAGCAAAATGGTGTAGTAGAAAGGAAGAACAGGCACCTGGCAGAAGTATGTCAAAGTATGCTCCATGTAAAGAATGTTTCGAGACAATTTTGGGCGGAAGCAACGACTGCAGGCTTCGTGACCAATAGGCTTCCTCAACAAATGTTATGTTTTCTTCTCACCTTTTGAAAAAATGTGGAACATGAAGCCTACTGTTGATCATTTTCGAGTTTTTGGATGTGTGTGCTATGTATTTGTACATGATCACTTATGTAGTAATATGGGAAAAAAGGCTGTTAGATGTATCTTTATAGGATATGACAGTCAAAGAAAAGGGTGGCGATGTTGCAATCCAACAACTGGGAAATGCTACACATCCTGGAACGTGGTGTTTGATGAAACTTCCTCATGGTGGTCTTCAGACAAGGAAGTACTACTAGACTCAGATGTTTTTAAGGAAGTGTTGGAAACTTCTCAAATCCAGTTGAGTTCAGGTGATGCCGAGGTTGCAAACGATGGTGGAGATGTCTAAGAAGGTGTAACTCATAGTACTTGGCAAATAGGTGTGCACCAAAGGCCAAGCGAAAAAGATGAGTCAAGTGAAGTAGATACACTAATTGCACTCAGAAGATCAACAAGAGTCAGAAAGCCAAATCCGAAGTATGCTAATGCCGCCATAGTAGAATAAGCAGATGCAAAAGAACCAGAGACATTTGAGGAAGCGTCTCAGAAGCCAGAATGGACTCAAGCAATGGAAGAAGAAATCGTTGCATTTAAAAGAAATTAGACTTGGGGGCTTGTGCCAAAGCCAAATGATGTGAAGCTTATTTCTTGCAAATGGGTCTGTAAGATAAAGCGTCGCACAAATGGATCAATTGAGAGGCACAAGGCTTGTCTGGTAGCTCGAAGGTTCTCTCAACAATATAGACTAGACTATGATGAAACGTTTAGTCAAGTTGCAAAATTTACAATTGTATGAGTCCTATTAGCACTTGCAGCTAACAAATGTTGGAACTTGTGGTAGATGGACGTGAAAATGCATTTTTGCATGGAGAGCTGGATCGGGAGATCTACATGGATTAGCCTATGGGTTTTCAGAGTCAAGATCATCCTAAGTATGTGTGTAAGCTCCAGAAGGCGCTCTATGAGTTAAAACAAGCACTGAAAGCTTGGTATGGTAAGATTGCTAAATTTCTTACTCATAGTGGTTATTCAATGACATCTACGGATTCTAGCCTGTTTGTCAAAGTTAAAGGAGGAAAGCTAGCTATTGTGCTAGTATATGTGGATGATTTAATCATTACAGGAGATTATGAAGAAGAAATTCTCCAAATGAAGGAGAATTTGTCAATCTGCTTTCAAATGAAAGAATTTGGACAGCTTAAGCATTTTCTTAGTCTAGAGGTCAATCGCACTCAAGAAGGAATATTCTTCATCAGCAAAAATATTCCAAAGATTTGTTGAAAAAATTTGGAATTCTTAAGTGGAAGCCAATCTCGACGCCTATGAAGCCAAATGCCAAAATGTGTGCTCATGAACGGAAAGATTTAGAAGATGCTACAATGTACTGGCAGTTGGTGGATAGTCTTATCTACTTAACTTTAACAAGACTAGATGTTTCTTTTGTAGTTGGCGTGATGAGTCGCTATAAGCAAAATCCAAAGAAGCCTCATTTGGAAGCAGTTCGACGAATCCTAAGATATGTGAAAAGTATGCGTAGCCACGGTATTATGTACAAGAAAGGTGGAGATTGCAGGTTAATTGGCTATTGTGATGCTGACTATGCAAGTGACCATGATACCCAACACTCAACTACTAGGTATGTTTTTATGCTTGGGTCTAGAGCAATTTCTTGGTGTAGCAAAAGACAACCAACAGTGTCTTTGTCAAGCACAAAAGCAGAGTATCGAGCGGCAGCGATGGTAGCTCAAGAAAGCACTTGGCTTATGCAATTATTAAAGGGCTTACATTAACCAACAGAGTATGATATCCTTCTGTATTGCGACAACTTGTTAGCAATACGTTTGGCGGAGAATCCAATTTTTCATGCAAGAACTGAGCATGTGAAGGTGCATTATCATCTTATCAAAGAGAGTCTTGCAAGAAGAAATTGAGTTAGAGCATGTTAAAATAGAAAACCAAGCTGTAGATTTGTTTACAAAAGGCTTGAGTGGCAACAAGTTTGAAAGGTTTTGTTATTAGCTCGGTATGGTAAAAGGAGTAGAAGTTGATGTTGAGGGGGAGTATTAAATAAATTAACACTAGCACGTGGGTTGCCTTTTGCTGAAGTATTGCACATTGTTAAAATATTATTACTTTTTTATTATTTAAATTCTTTGTGAGTGGTTTCGTGATAGGATTGTGTTACTAGTCTAGGAGTAATGGTATTAATCACGTCCTTAGAAGATTTAGACGTGGCTAGTGGAGATTTAGATGTGGCTAGTAGAGGTTTACAGCGTTGGACGTGGAACTAGTTGTGAGTTATGTAAAGCCAATATATAGGCATTCTTACTGCCTAATATTTAATTGTTATTCCTTAAAAGCGTTCTTCCATTTTCTGTAGTGTTTGTATGTGAGAATTTTTTTATTAATATTTTATATGTTTGAATTGCATTGTGAGTTCATTTATTTGTTGAGTGGTTTTTTGTGCCTGAGAAGTGTGAAAGCTTTTGTCAATTATTAAAACCTTTTGCTGGTTGTGTGTTCAACATTATATTTATTACTAAACTGCCCATGATTAATGACTTCAACCTAGAAATTTCTGGAGATAAGAAGGGGGTGGAGGATTAGAGTCGAGTAAAGGATGAGCCATTGAAGCCCATTAATCAATTCACGAACTTTTTTGGGGGAGAACTTGGCATTATAAAAATGGTTAGTCATTGGCTTGCCCACTTTATATTTCAAGTCTCTTGATTTATTGAAAAAATTAACTATGATTTATTATTATGTTACGTAAAATTAAATAGAACTAATAAACATATTCTTCAAAACAAAACCCAATCCGTGAGCCAAATCCAAGTTTTGACGATTTTTTATAGGGTAAATTGGGTTGAGGTGGGAATGATATTACTTCCTAGTAGTGTTGCTTGTTTCTTTTCTTTATTAATCAAGTTCGTTCTATACATTAAAAGTGGGAACAGGATATACCACAGCTAGCTGGTTGTAATGACTGATAAGGCACAAAAAGGAAATCCCAAAGCAAAGCAATTGCAGATAGCTTGCGAAATTAAGCAAGGAATAGATTGATCAACAAATGTAGAAAGATCAAGATAAAGTTGTAACCTTTACCCCCAAATCAAGCAAAGACTAGGCTCCAAGTCAAGCAAAATGGAATCTCAATTCTCACACGCAAACAACCCCATGTGTTATATATTTACCCATTCATTGAGCCAAAATTGAGTCAACAGGAATTGGAGATTCAGACAGAGAATGGTACTCTCGCCAGTGCAGAGCCCAGATGAAATATCATCTAGTTTATTAGCTCAGTCTTTGCGTCAAGATATGTCCAGGATCCCTTGCCTAGGTCGTACTAATTAACATCACATATTAGTTTTGGAAAATTTGATCTTTCTTGTATTATTAATTCATGTTGCCATTACTACTATTATTTATTTTATCAAGGAATTTTCGTATTATGTTTCTAAATGCAGGTATAGGATGCCGGAGAATTCAATTCCGAAGGAAGTGGCCTATCAAATAATACATGACGAATTGCAACTGGATGGGAATCCAAGGCTTAACTTGGCCTCTTTTGTCACCACCTGGATGGAACCCGAATGCGACAAGCTCATGCTGGAATCTATGAACAAAAATTATGTTGACATGGATGAGTACCCCGTCACCACTGAGCTTCAGGTGTAACTCTCTTTTCTCCTTGTTATTCTTTCTTCATATATCCTTCCAGTAATGGAAGTTTTCAACTCACTTAAGCACGAATCAAGCATGGTTCTTGAGTATCAAAATTCAAAATATTCTCCGGATTGGTATAAATTTGTGAAAGATGCAAAAGTTCTTAAATTTCTTTAATGTTTATGTATGTGTTTGTGGTTTGTAGAATCGATGCGTAAATATGATAGCAAATCTTTTCAATGCCCCCTTAAGGGATTCAAAGCAAGCAGTCGGAGTAGGAACAGTAGGTTCTTCGGAGGCCATCATGTTAGCGGGATTGGCTTTCAAGAAGAAGTGGCAGAACAAGAGAAAGATAGAGGGCAAACCTTTCGACAAGCCTAACATTGTGACTGGTGCCAACGTTCAGGTACATACATGCTTGTATAAAAATTAATTATTTTTATCAGAAGTGTTTTTCAATGTAATATATTAATGTAATTGTTAATATAGGTTTGCTGGGAGAAATTTGCAAGGTACTTTGACGTGGAACTGAAGGAAGTAAAACTGAGTGAAGGCTGCTACGTCATGGACCCTAAGAAAGCCGTGGACATGGTGGATGAAAATACCATAGGTGTTGCGGCTGTCCTTGGTTCCACCCTTACAGGAGAATTTGAAGATGTGAAGCTCTTGAATGATCTTCTGACTGAGAAAAACAAGAAAACTGGGTATGTGAGTTAGATCTATATATATACATTCTTTTTGTCTTGCACAGTTCATTATGAAAGGGCTTGCTAATTTCCTTGTGTTATCCCGTCCATTTTTGGAATAGGCAATTAATTAGCTCACGGTCTTAAAAATATTCTAGCATACTGTGATTTGTGACGATCTGTATTTTCCTCATAATTCTTTCGTGAATAATTAATTGTACGCAGGTGGGATACACCAATCCATGTAGATGCGGCTAGTGGAGGATTTGTGGCACCATTTTTGTATCCAGAACTAGAATGGGATTTCAGACTTCCATTAGTGAAGAGCATCAATGTCAGTGGCCACAAGTATGGGCTGGTTTATGCTGGGATTGGTTGGGTTATTTGGAGAAGCAAGGAGGAATTGCCTGACGAACTCGTCTTCCACATAAATTACCTTGGAGCTGATCAACCCACATTTACCCTTAACTTCTCCAAAGGTATATGCATGTCTTAAAATCATGAATTAAACAAATTAAGCTACAGTCATTTGTCTTTAAAAATATGCAGCTAGCACTAGTTCAATAGACTTCCCATGACTTCTCTGCTTGAGATTTTTCGGTTAACCAACCAATGAATATTCTTATTAATTTTCCTCCAAATTTTAATAATTCAAGGCCTGTCCATATTGATTTTTTAGCTTGACTATTCAGGATCAAGTCAAATTGTTGCCCAATATTATCAATTCTTGCGCATGGGAATAGAGGTAAACTGCATCCTTTTTTCAAAAAGAAATGAAACAAGATGCTCCCCATTCTTCCTTTGATTTTACTTTTTGTTATGGTGGTGGTTCAGGGGTACAAAAAAGTGATTAGCAATTGCATGGAAAATGCTAGGATACTTCGTAAAGGGCTGGAAAAAACAGGGCGAGCTCAGATAGTTTCAAAAGAGAGAGGGATACCGCTAGTGGCCTTTGCACTGAAGAACAAGAGCAAAAGGTCTGCATTTGAATTGTCAAAGGCCCTGAGGCACGATGGCTGGATTGTGCCGGCCTACACCATGCCTGCTGATCTGGAGCACATGACCGTTCTTCGAGTTGTGGTGCGTGAAGATTTAGGCCGCCAGCTCATCGAAAGGTTAATTTCGCATATCAATGCTGCTCTATCTGAGATTGAATACGATGCACCTCTTGTTCCAACTCCAAAGATAGCTTTCACAGTGGAAGTGACATCAAGTGATGATAAAGATGAGGCTTCTCTACTTATACCAGCAACCTCCATACAGTGGAAGCAGCATAAGCCTCAAACTATTAGCAAGGCAAAGGAGGTACAAGTGTTTGGTACTAAGACTAAGGGTGTTTGCTAAGTAGCCCAAATTCCTATCATTACATTTTTTTTCTTTAAATGTCATTTTACCAACATCTAGCAGTAACAAAACAGACGTGAAAACTGTTGTCTCGTGCAAGCCTTGTTTTGAAGGATCAAACTTCAAAGTCTGTGTCAAATTAATAAGCTTGTAAATTCCATTGCATGCACAAGCATTGTTCTGTTATGCTTTCTTTTAATTAAAGGAATATTTGAACGCAAAAAAGAGAGGATACCTTGATCAAACTGGTAAAATCAGCTTTATCTTTTGCCAGCAATTTGACAGGATCTCGCCTAGTAACTAGATCATACATCACGAGTTTGCAGTAAGAATCCACACCTAGGCTTGATTGATGAGAGTTTCAATATGGAAGCCACTACAAAGATGTTGTCGGCTAAAGGTGAATGGACTTGGGAGAATAGAACAAATTATTTTGTAATCTCTTGGACATTGACCCCTATATATGTTAGCAGTGACTTGTGTACCGGAGTTCGGTGCATCAGGGTTACTTCAAGTGATCGGGATCTTTGCTTGCCCTGTCTCATAATCAAGTTCGATCTTTCCCACCTCTCATCCCGAGGTACTTTGGACCACCTTTTGTTCCTCTGTGTAGCCTAAGATTGAGGAAGAGATGAAAACGTGAAAAGGGCTTGACGAGCCCTAAGAAAATATTTGCATCCAATGAAGCAGGATCCACTAATATTACTATTTTAAGAAAAACCGAGACAAGGAGAGAGAGAGGGAGGTCCTTTATTACATGTTTGGGACTCCAAATTTCCTAAGCTAATAACACTCGGGAGAAAAAGGAAAACAAAAAAGAAAGAAAGAAAGAAAGAAGGAAAGGAAAAAGTCTCGAGAACATGCGTACTAATCTAATGAATCTTCTCAAAGTTGTTTTTTTTAGTGGATGCACGAGTCATGGAATTATAATTATGATTTACAATAACTAGAGTACGTTCTTCAATTTGTGGTTTAGAATCAACAGCTTTCATCTGTATATGTAGATTACATAAGTCTACTCTTGGCTGGCAGTGGAAAAGAAACAACATTTGGCCCTCTCCTCGTATAATAGGCTGCGTACCTTCTGTTTCAACGACCACCTCTCTAGGAATTTACCCTTTGGACTTGGATTCTGTAATTGGTTTGTTTCACCCATCTTGCTCCTCATCGTGTCTTTCAGGGTGCAATTGTGCGTCCCTGCATATCATTCTAGGCAGGGCATCCGAGCATTGTATGTTAGGCATCGATCCCACAATCTTACAAGTACTTTTCCAACAACCTCATATGTTGCCCAAACGGATCATATCTACCATAACACCTCCATCATCAAATTAGACAATCTTTGAAACTTTCTGCTATTACTTTTCCACTTTGGTTCTTAAGATTTGGACTCACTAAAACCACGCTTGACTCGAGTCTCCATTCCACTCTCTGGAGAATGGGTTAAACAGGTGCTTGTTCCAATAACTCCATCTCTAGCTCGGTGTCTGTGACGACCTTTGTTGGAGGGCCCTGTTGAGACTCTCACGAGTGCCCTTCCCTTGGTAGATTGAAACAGAGAATGCCTCTCGGTACAATGGATTTTCTTTCTTTAGAAGTGGAGAATATGAGAAAATGATGAACTGGAGTCCATATACATGAGGCGTGTGGCACATTGACAAGCAAACTAATATTATGATAATGCACAGAATTAAATAAAATTTCAAACTAATATTATGTGATATTGGACACCAGTTAAGTGAAAAAGATAAATGATAAAATACATTCTGAGTATAATGGCAATTAGTATCTTATTAAACATGTTAAAAGTAAATCATAATTGTATTCATATCATATTGAGATGACAAAACTAATAAAAAAAATTATCAAATTAAGCATATTATAAAAATAATAAATTTTAATTGATAGGTCAACCCATTACATAATTTAACCAAATTTATTATAATTGAAACAATTACGGATTGATGATATTTATACTAAGAAAAAGTTTAATTACACACAAGTTATGTAATTATGTCATATTTAATATTATCGGTCTCATTTAAGAAAAAAATTTAGAGTTGACAAGTCTCTCATACTAGACAATCCAGAACCCGGAGGACTAAAATGAAATAGAATAGAAGAAACAAGAAAGGAAGCTTGAATGAGCAAAAAATTGAACCAAGAACCTAGCTATATTATTCAGACATTAGTCATAGCAAATTAATGATAAATTCTTATCTGGGGATCATCTTTTGTGGGGGAATTACCAACTGATTTAAAAATCTTCTCCAACAATTTGGATGGTCGGTCTTCGTGGACCAAAGAATCGTCAAACAATTAAATGAACATATCGTTCTCGGATGACTCGGTCCATAAACCCCAACTTTGGGTCAACTTTCCTTTTTGATTTTGAAGATTATTAACTGCAATGAAGACTTTGGGAACACAAACGGTTGAAAATTAATGGCATACTGAAATTCAACAAAATATTGAACTTTCATTCTTCGTCCCCAAGTTGAAATTTTATTGATTCCTGCTAACTTCTTTGGCACGTATGACATGACTTCCAAATATATTTTGCTAGTTTGATAACAGAAAAAAAAACTTCTACTAGGGGTGATTATAATTATAGTGGCTAGATTTCCTATTATTAATTGTGACGTGTTTAATGTGTTGTTAGGCTCATGGAATCCTTCTATAATCTATTCGTTAGTTTTATTGTAGTTTTAGGAACTATCATAAAATTTATAATAGAAAATTTATATATAATATAGATCAACTTTTTGTTAATAAATTGTATTTACTCTTCGTTTCAGAGCAAAGTTATTAAATGAGTTCAATGATTTGTCCCAGGAAAGTGGTAAGGGTTTGATATTAGTTTAATAAAAGAAAATTTGTTAATTGTTTTAAATAACATATGGAGACAAAAATAGTATGATGTTTCTAATAATTGAGTATTTATATTATAAACTTTTTAAGAATAGAAAAAACAAAGACTAGTGTGGATTGCTATTGTATAAAGGTATTAAAGAAATAATAGTAAGGTTTATTTTTAAACTTGTTTTATTGTCACGACCCAAATTCAAGATCCATGATTGACACTAGGGTCCTTGACTCGAGTCAGCCTCATCCTACTCAAAAACTAAACAAAATATGTATAAACATTTTATACTGTTCAAGTACAAAACTAAGATCCTATTTTAAGTAATGAAGGAGTACTAGAGTATAAAAACAGATAAATAAAAGAATATGCCATACATCCATCAAAGCTGTAGATGATTGCTCCGACTCTAGCACGTTACTCGAGAACAACAACTCAAATCTAAAAATTTCTAAAATGTGAGTAAAGATAATACTTAAACTATACATGTAGGAATATGTATTACGTTACAAGTCCAAAACTATACATGTACATATATATACAGTGAGTAGTAACATATCAAATCATACATATGTGAGAGTATACTGATCACATGAGACTCCAGCCTCGATCAGAAAAATCTTTTGTCTCACGATTAGGAAACACAATTACAAACCACGCTTCCGGTCGAGAGGCATCCTCCATGTCACGACCGGAGCATCACGCCCACCAGGACAACACGATTTCAGTGTGTCACACTATTCCCCATATACGAAGTCAAATAGATATACATATATAGTCCAAAATCTCAAAATTAGTATCGCATACCAACATAGCTCACTGACAATTCATAAAACACATAACACATATCTCAAGTGTAACATATATTAAAATACGGTTTACGAAACCACATACTTATCATGTTAGAAACACAATATGAAAAATACATACATAAGAAGGGTATCACCACTTATAGTGCAAGAGATGAACTAAAAAAGAAGTCTCGATTACCTTCACCTGACTTACTGGTCTTAGTGTGCCTCCACTGAAGTATCTGTAACTAAAATCACACCAAATCATCATCATCACCAAAACCAGCACAAGAAACAGGCTCGGTAGCCCATAACTAGCCCTGTTCACGGTTCAGGTTTGAACCATGAACCACCCAGCCCGGACTGGGAAAAAATAGGACCGGATCGGACCAGCAATATCCGGTCCGGTTAAGGTTCACGTATTTTTTGAACTTAAACCAGAACTGTGAATGAACCAGTTAACCGGAACCGAGAATGAACTGGGAATGAATCGTGAACTGTGAACCGTGAACTAGAACCGTGAAATGTAAACCGTGAACCGGAATTGTGATAAACCGTGAAATATTTAGTATTTTAAAATTTTAATTTTTATTATTTAAAATTTTTCTATTTTTTTATTTAAAGTTAAAATGAAATATATTGTACATAGGGGTGTGCAAAACTAAACTAATTTTAAAATTTTGGTTTGGTTTTTTAAATCTAATTTGGTTTGATTTGGATTAAAAAAATAATTCAAAATTATGGTTTGATTTGGTCTAAAAACCAAACTAAACCATTTTAAACCAGAAACCAAAATTTTAAAAATATTTTTGTTTTATAAAAATACACACACACACACACACACACACATATATGAACATATATGTGTGTACACAAACACACATACATACATACATACTTATATATACACACACATGTATAAATTTTATCCACTCATATAAATATAAGTATATATATATGTACATAAATTTATATTATATATAAATATATACATACCCACACACATGCACACGCATGCATGCACACACACATGTAAATATATATATGTATGTATGTATAGATATATAAATAGGTAAATATATTTATTTACGTATTTATGCATATACACACACATACATATTTTTATATTTTTATGAATATATATATATACACAAATATATATATACATAGGTATACTGAAATTTTAGATTTAGGTTGGTTTGATTTATAATTAAATTGGATTGATTTGGTTTCTAAAGTATTAAAATAAAAAAACTAAAAAATCAAACCCAATTATCAAAAAGTAAACCAATATTATGGTTTATATATACCCATATGTATGTGTACGCATACACGCATATATATATATATATTTATATTTATATAAGTGTATACACACACACACACACATGAATATATATGTATGTATGTATGTATATACAAATATATACACACACACACACATACATATATATGCATATATATACATATTTGATGATAAAAAATTAAATAAATAGTTTATTTTAACATTTAAAATAATAATAAATCAAACTTAAAATCAAACCAAATCAAATTGAAATTTTAAGTTTGGTTTGTTTTGGTTTATAATTAAATGGGTTTGGTTTGGTTTTTAAAGTATTAAAGCCAAAAAACCAAAAAACTAAACTGAATTATCAAAATTCAAACCAAAATTATGGTTTGCACACCCCTAATTGTATGTAATAAAAAATTAGAAGGTTGGAAGAGTCATGAGTTCCATCCATTGGTCAATAAATTAAAATAGCTAGTTTATATATATATATATAAAGAAAGGTTATTTTTCAATGTTTAATAATTTAAATATATTAGAAAATAGATTATTTAAAGAATTTCAAATGATTTATAAGTTAATAAATAATTTTTTTTGGCAAAATCAAATTAGAATTGAACCGAACTGCGGACGAACCGGAATCGAACCGAATCGTGAACGAACCGGGAACGAACAGGAATTGCAAACGAATTGGGAAATGAACCGTTAATAAACCGAGAACAAACCGGAAATGGAACCACGAACGAACTGGCCCGGAATCGTGAACCGGCCTGACTCGCAACCGGAACAGGAACCGTGATGAACCAGAACCGTGAACCAGCCTGAAACTAGCATGAACCGTAACCGGAACCGGATTGGCCTTCAAGGTTCCAGTCTCGGTTCATATTTTTTTTGGGTCGGTTCTGGTCCGGGTTGATTCAAGGCCTGTGAATAGGGCTACCCACAACCAGACTCAAATCATTTCTTGACACTTTGGCACGCATCTTGAGGCACCACTATTCCATCACTGGGACCCATATGACTCACAACACTTATCAATTTAACTTAACAACCCTCAAACAATAGTAAACCAACCTCCTAAACCCTCAAATCATAGTGAACTGACCTCTAAAACCCCCGAACCGACCTAAACTGATCTAAAACTATTTCAAACTCAACTGGTTTAGCCATAAAGTCCTCAAAATCAGATTCAAAAGATCCCAAAACCTTAAGAATTGGTCCAACTTAAAATATCCAAGCTAAAAAGATCACTGAACTGGCCGGTCAAACACTCTAGCCGATTTAGTCAACGATCCACCTTTTTTTTTTTAAAAAAAAAAAATTGGCTCAGCTCGGCTCGACTCAACTCTCTGGCTTGGGCCACCAACCCAATGGCTCATCGGTTTGAGCCAATAGGTTTGGGCCCATCCCAATTGGGCCGGCCTAAACCCAGATCCCTTTCTCTTTTTCTTCTTCTTCTTTTTTTTTTTTTTTTTCACTGAGCCAAGTTAACTTAGTGAGTTAACTCAAGCCAGTCATTGTCTGGGTCAGCTCGTGGCCTTGCAATACATCCGGGCTGAGTATGGGTTACTAACCCTGCACGGGACCTGGACCCCATCCGGGTCCCTTCTTCTTCTCCCAACAAAGTAGCCCAGACCCAGCCCCCTTGCAGAAAACCCAGAACTAGAAAACCAAAGAAAAACCAAGAATTTCAAGCATACCTGGTTTGATCGCCCCTCAAGCAATGTAGACCCACACCTGTCGATCCACACCAAGCCTCCCAATCGAAGAAAACTCGAGCCAAAATGAGCCAAAATCCTCCAAATCCCGTTCTACCGTGAACCCTTCTATCGACCTAAAACTAGTCCAAAACCCCTCACTCTCTCACCGGACTCTCGAAATTTCTTGGGGAAAAGTTTCATACAGGCCTAACCCCCTTCCTTAAGCAATTTAAAACCCAAAATCTGGTTTCCATCGAGTGTAATGATGGATCTATAGTTTGGGTCACTGTAAATCTGTACTTTCAACCCTGTCACACTCCGATTCTCTCAACTTTACTTTCTTTCGATTCTGTCCTTTTTTGAATTTCCAATTTGGTCCCCATTCTTTCAATTTGTGCACTTGGCTCCTAAACTTCCTAATTTCTCCCATCAGCCCCTTAAACTTAAAATTTCTGCACTTAAACCCTCCCAAATTTCCTATTTGATCCCTGAAACTTCTAAATTTTGCGATTAAACCCCTAAATCCAATTAAACTAAAATTGGGTCATTACATCTATCAAGGTTAGTTGATAGAAAAAGTAAAATAAATAAAAATGGTACAATTTAAAATCTAATTTAAAAAATTAATATTATATTTTTAACAATAAAATAACTTACATTTTAAAACCAGTTCAATAAATTGTTAGATTTATTATGAATTTTTGACCTCCTCTAGTTAAACTTTACATATGCATAAAGTGATTTATGGTTATTAGAATTAAATTGCATATTGAACCGATTAAAGAACTGGCTTCAACATTCACTCTACAATTTGGTTCAAGTATGATTGAATAGGTTTTATAATTAAAAATTAATTTTTAATTTTATAATATATAAATTATAGAGTTTTTTTTTTTTTAAAATACACTTAAAGAATTGGAGTGTCTTTTTTTTTTTTTTTTTATAACAATGAGATATTTGGTTGTAGTTTCTATGCATAAGAATTTATTTTTTAAATTTTTACAAATATTTTCATATATTTTACAGTGTGATACGAATTTTGCCATAAGTACGATATTTATTCTTCTCTAAAAGTGTATTTTCAAGAATTTGAATATAATTTTTTTCATAATATATGAGAATGTATTATTATTTATACTACATCTAATAAGCACAGTGCATAAAAATTTTTAATCAATGTTGTCGCGGGTGATTGAAGTAAGTTGAATTGATTAGTTATCACTGGATTTGTCTAGTTCCCTCCAATGCTTCAGTTGCATTTTTTATAAACGGAAAAAAAAAAAAGAAAAAAACATTTGGCAATTCAAATTTGTATCAATTGAACCAATTAGTTGAATTTGATTCTGACGAATACGTAGTGAACGCATCAGCTGAGGCTGAGCAGGCAGATGCGCAATTGCCCAAGCCCGGTGTTGTCTACTTTGGAAACACGTTTTTGAAAGAAGTAAAACCCGAATACAAATAAAAATGCCTCAACTTTGACAAAACTGCTTGACCATTCTAGCTTTCTGTCTTGGCATTAGGAAAAGCATTTATTCAACACGATTCTTGCCGCGGTTTCGTTCCGCTTCATACGTTGTTAAGTTTGATGGTGTTATATTTTGGCTAGTTTTTATTTATAAAAAATTTTTATTTTGTTAAATTATTTTTTAAAATTTCAATGGAAAAAAGTTAAAAATTAAAATTAAAATTAAAATTATAATTAATGGTGTAATTCTAAATAATTGTATAACTTTCAACAAAATTTATAATAATTCTTCATTTTTATATTTTTAGTATTTTTTTAACATCCCTAAAATTTATTATTTTTAAAAAAATAATAGTTCAGACTCGTACTTGTTTTTTAATAAGTTTTTATAATATCTAATTATTTTAAAAAACTTTTAATATTTGGGACTAAGCGTTTGATTGTGAGTTTTTTTCTTCAAAAAAATAGTCCCTCCCCCCTCTATAATCCAAAGTTTACCATTAGAGTTTCACCAAAAGCTCTATAAATTTAAAATAAACTGACTTTTCGAACCGAAAATTCCTATTAAATATTAACTTTTTTATCCAAAAGCCAGAACCAAACAATCCCTAATGCTTCCCGAATCCGACGAACGTCCCCTCCCGCGGCCAAAGGACTTTGAGTCTCTGGGTGCGCAAAAGCCGAAGATGCAGCAAATGCGTTCGTCAGGCATGGAAGAAAGGCAATCTGACTCAATTATGTCAAAAGTGGGGCTCACTAAAGGAAGGTGGCAATTTGGCAGCCAGTCATTGGCTTCTACCGGTCGATGGCTGCATAAGCAATGACAACCCTGTGGAACAGAAGACAGAAAAAACTTTCTCGACTAATATTAAAAAATTGACGAAACCAAGTCAATCTCCACTAATTCAAATTCGTCCAACTTTCCTCATTTTTCCAAGTTCTAGAGGAGTTCCATGTTCGCATCCCGCACGATCCGTGCGTGTGAGGCGTGTAATAAAATTTGTTCGTTCATACAATTTAAAATGTCCCCATATGGCACGTATTGAGCACTTAACACAATTCAAAAATAGTTCCACCCTATAAATACCAAATCCTCGTCCTCAAGCAAAACCACGTTAGTTACAGAAATCACTTGTGTCTGTATTTACTTCTCTCATCTCAAAGCCAGTCAGTTGATCAGAACTAGCCATGGTTCTCTCAAAGACTGCTTCAGAATCGGACGTCTCCGTCCACTCCACCTTCGCCTCTCGCTATGTTCGCTCTTCTCTTCCAAGGTTTATTTCCACTATATCCTTAATCCGTTTTTCATAAATTCATGGGTTAAATTTGTCTGTTTACGTATTTTTTGATGTTTGGGCTACAGGTTCAAGATGCCAGAGAACTCCATACCAAAGGAGGCGGCGTACCAGATCATCAACGACGAGCTCATGCTCGACGGGAACCCAAGGCTGAACCTGGCTTCGTTTGTGACAACATGGATGGAGCCAGAGTGTGACAAGCTCATGATGGCTGCCATTAATAAGAACTACGTCGACATGGATGAGTACCCTGTTACCACCGAGCTTCAGGCAAGCCATTTTATTTTCCTAAGTTTCCCTCACTTGACATTCTTTTTTTGCTTGACCTATTATATAATATAGAAGATATAAATAATTAATTTAAATGGGAGATGTGAAACTCAAAATATGGATTAATGTGCAGAACCGGTGTGTGAACATCATCGCACATCTGTTCAATGCACCGCTGGGAGATTCGGAGGCGGCAGTAGGGGTGGGAACAGTTGGATCGTCGGAGGCTATTATGCTGGCTGGCCTAGCTTTCAAGAGGAAGTGGCAGAATAAGCGTAAAGCAGAGGGGAAACCTTATGACAGGCCCAACATCGTCACAGGAGCCAACGTGCAGGTATATAATTCATTAGTTATGATTTAATTAAAAACATTTCACGCACAAGCCCCCTTCTGTTTTCATACCCAACAATTGTAAATAATTAAAAAATTTTTGGATTGACTTGACATTTTTAAAATAATGATATTCTGTGCATGATCTGTCTATTGTTACTACTGCATTAATTGTCCTAAGCAGAAAACATATGTGGCGTTATTTATTTCATGTGTATTTATCTTTCCAATTAATTAGTGCAGGTGTGCTGGGAAAAGTTTGCCAATTACTTTGAAGTGGAGCTAAAGGAAGTAAAGCTGAGGGAAGGTTACTATGTGATGGACCCTGTCAAAGCTGTGGAAATGGTAGATGAAAATACCATTTGTGTTGCTGCAATCTTGGGCTCAACCCTCAATGGTGAATTTGAAGATGTGAAGCTATTGAACGATCTTCTAATGGAGAAGAATAAGCAGACGGGGTATGAATTAAGCATTTTTAAAACCTTCATACTTCGATGTCGTCCAAATTTATTAGAACTTGTTTATAAAAATTATACAAAAAATGCAGATGGGATACCCCAATTCATGTAGATGCTGCTAGTGGTGGATTCATTGCACCCTTCCTATACCCAGAGTTGGAGTGGGACTTCAGGCTTCCATTGGTGAAGAGCATAAACGTGAGTGGGCACAAGTATGGTCTAGTGTATGCTGGTATTGGGTGGGTTATCTGGAGGAGCAAGGAGGACTTGCCAGACGAGCTTATCTTCCACATCAACTACCTCGGAGCCGACCAACCTACGTTCACTCTCAATTTCTCTAAAGGTAAAGCCACAAGTTTCATTCTTCCATTAATTTAGGCATTACATACGTAGCTCTGCTTCATAATCTAAAGCTTAGACATACCTGTTTGCAGGTTCTAGCCAGGTTATTGCACAGTACTACCAACTCATCCGCCTGGGTTATGAGGTTAGATCTGTCTTTATGGAAATTGCAATATTACATCAAAAGAGTATAGGAGTTTGATGAAATAGGAGTGAATATGTACTATTGAAATAGTAAAGTGTTGAATATATAAAATCTAACAATTTATGTCAGATATAGTAGCTAATAATGAAATTAAGTATTATTAATTATGTTTAGCATTCAGTAACTGGGATTGCGTGTGGGGCAATTGCAGGGATATCAAAATGTGATGGAAAACTGCCGTGAGAACATGCTTGTGCTGAAAGAAGGATTGGAAAAGACAGGGAGGTTCCACATAGTGTCAAAGGACGATGGGGTGCCACTGGTGGCTTTCTCCCTCAAGGACAACAGCCAACACAATGAGTTTGAGGTGTCAGAAATGCTGAGGAGGTTCGGCTGGATCGTGCCTGCCTACACCATGCCTGCAGACGCACAGCATGTTACGGTGCTACGTGTTGTTATAAGAGAAGACTTCTCCCGCACTCTGGCAGAGCGCCTCGTCCTTGACATCACCAAGGTTCTCCACGAGCTCGACGCCCTTCCTGCCAAGGTTAATGCCAAGATCTCTGCCCAGAAAAACACCAAGGCCAATGGAACCGTCCGTAAGAAAACGGCACTGGAGATGCAGAGGGAAATCACTCAAACGTGGCTGAAAATGGTGAAGGCTAGGAAAGCCGCAGTTTGCTAGCTTTAGTCACCCTTAAACTTCATTTGATGGTTTTCAATAACAAGTTGATGTCCCTTGAGAACGAGAGGACAGGAATTAAGAGTTCATCTTAAGTTGCCTTCTTTTTTTTTTTTCTTTTTTTTTTCCCTTTATATTTTTAATTTTGCACACGCTTTTGCCGTACGATATTGCTAATTCACTAATGTCATGGATCTCCTTTTTGTGTCTTACAACAGTAATAAAATTGCCACAGTGAGATGTCTGAATAGCACAAGTGATATATATTTTTCTCACACATTATAATAAATAACTTACAAATTTCTAGTTTAGCTGTGTTACCTAAACTTAATTTGTTCCATTAAAAAAAGATTTCCCAGCTCTTACAAATTTCAATTTCGCTTTTACGTGAAGAAATCATGATTTGTAAATACAAATAATTCATCATTGGTGGATTGGTTAGCCAACAGGTTATATTTATTTTATAAAGAGTTGTGTTAACTTAACTAGCATATATTCTGACTTTTAAAATCAAAAGAATGGATTTATAAAACTTGGTAAAGTATCATTATGCTTAAACAATGTATTGGGCTGCTAATGCTATCAAGTCGTGCCTAATATCCGGCATGCTGCCTAACATCTTCCCCAAATACAACTGAACTTCCAAATTCTTATAATCCATCAATAATTAGCGATGAATTAGCTATGCATGTTTTTGGCCGCTAATTTCTACCACTAATTCTATTTTTCATATTTATTAGCCCTTGTTTGCATACCAGTTTGAAAGTAATTTTTACAAACAAAACAAAATATCTTTTCATTTCACAAATTTAACTATATTATTTGAAGAATTGCCTTCTAAAACCTTTGGCTTTTGGTAAGTTTCTTTATTTAAGTTGTTTCTCAACTGATTTTGAGCGACCTAACATAGCCTTAATAATGTTAGGATCAAACTTAACTTTTCTACCAAAATCAGAGCGTTTTTACCTTTTCAGAACATCCGTATAGCAATAAACTTCAAGCTTGTTCTAGTTCGCCGAAAAGTGGGAGGAAGGAAAGGGAGATGGGAAAGGGGCGGGACTGGACCAACTTTGGTTGGAAGGATGAGTGGGAGGAAACAAATCGTTACTGGATTGCATTTTCTACCTTTCAATTTTTTTCCCCAAAAGTGGGCGGCCGAAAGCAGTTGAAATGGGAACCACCAAGCTCTTCGTGGTATGTATTGTGTAGGAAGGGAAATAGCAAAGCAGCATTTGCTGGACTTTTATTTCTCTTTTCGCCTATATAATGTTTAGTGAGAAAATTAACGCAACACTTGATTCTGAGGGGGAAGGAAAATATTATTTTGGGACCTATTTAAATATAATATATAAGACCAATTATATATTCAAAATATGTTTTGTATAAAATAATACTATTAGTTTAAAAAATATTTTGACAATAATATATTTTTTAGTTTTTTTTGTCAATTTTGATCTGGTCCAACTGAATGAATTTAAAAAATAAAACCTGTAAAACTATTATAGAATGCTGAAATGTTATTAAGTTTCTCAGTTTTTTGTTATCCCATCACCAAATAAATTATAATGTTATGTCTAAAGAAATGAACCCAACCGGAAAAGATTAGTGTAAAGCAGAAAATAAGATCAGCTAGTCCAATTAAAAAATATCCGAACCCAAATTCCTAAGTAAGTATTAACTTCCACATTTTCATTTTCTTGTTATATGAATTTGAGCATGATACTGTAACTTTGTAACTCTAAAGTTAAAAAATTATTTGGAAAATTAGTTAAAATAATTCTTGTGTACCATAGATCATATATATTTGCATTTTAAAAATTTTTGAATAATTTCATTGTAATTTGGTTGTATTAAAAACATAATGAACATCTTATGATTGATTTCAACCTCTTGTTGGGGTATGAATTCTATCAGGAGAAACCAGTGTGAGATGAAATTCAAGTGGCAAACATATGGTTAATGTTAAGTTTAATTTGCATCAAAAAAATAATTTCCATGATTAAATTGTCGTTGAAATGCAAGTATTTCTGAAATAAGACCCTGAACAAAAGAAATATTCAAAATTTAGGACCATTTTAAAAAATAATAATTATAAGAAATGATATTTGTCACTTTAAATTTTAATTTACAGAACCCAAAGTAAACGAGATGCGGCCTTACAATTAATTGTTAAAATGGGTTTAACTTTGATTATCTTTTATCGAAGCAAAAGTGTGTGATTTTAGATTTCACCAAAGACTGTAATAATGATCTACACTAACAAAGAATTAATAAAATAGAAAGCATGCGAGACATAAGGTGACATCACAGCTTTAAATTCAACTACCACTAGATGGCGCCCCCCTAAAATCAAAAGAAACATTAACAGATTTTACTTTAAACAATTTAATATAGGCCCAGTAGCGAATCAAAGTTTGAACCTTGACATCAAAGTGATGATATATTATTATTTATTATGTTTCTAAAACAATGGGTTCATACGTTACCTATGCTTTTCTTCCCGTGTCCAGCCCACATTAATTACACTGGAAACAATTTCAGGTGCGAGATTTCTAATTCATATGCCAGCTGTACAGCGTTTTATATGTTACCATTAGTTTTTCAGTCTTATTATCAGATCTAAAAATTGAAATAATTAAATGATTTAAATATATAACCTTATAATTTAAAAAAAAAATAAATAATAAAAACTTTGCAAAATTTGTAAAAAGGTGATAATTGACAAAACATATAGTTTAGTTCCCAATCATGAATTATTGTTAGACTGGTTAAAATCATCAACTTGTTCTAATTCTTGTTGTTGGTTTAGTCCAATTCAAATATCAAAGTGATATAATACTAGAACTAAACTGGACTGCCCATGGATTCCTTGTCCAACCAGTAGTACTAACTGTTCTACTCTAACTCAAATGACTGTAAATATGTGTGAATCAATGAGAGGATTTAAAATTATTGCGTGTTGAATATAGCTGTAGCACAGGCCACATAAACCCTCCACGTATGCCCAAACTCAACCACCCCACTAGTGCAAAAGGCAAGCACCAACTTTTTCCGCTTTCACACTTGGGTTGCTACGCTGTATATAAATTGAGGTGCCTAGTGACATGGTTTGTGCCAGCCAAGTGAAGTCTTTCTTTTACGTAGTTAAATATACATCACAGTTATGGCTAGTAAGATGATGAAAAGCAAACGGTTTGTTGCTGTGATAGTGTGGATGTTAGTATGGGAGGATTTAGGAGAGATGGCAATGGGGGCAGGAGGTGCGTGCGGGAGGACGCCTATAAACACGGCCGCTGCCAGTTTAAGTCCCTGCCTTGGGGCGGCCAAGAATGCAAGGGTGAAGGTGCCACCAGCATGCTGTGCCAAGGTTGGTGCATTGTTGAGGACGGCACCTAGATGCCTCTGCGCTGTCCTTCAATCCCCACTTACCAAGAACGCGGGTATTAATGCCGGAATCGCTATCACCATCCCTAAACGATGCGGCATCAAGAACAGACAGGCTGGGAAGAAGTGCGGAAGTAAGCTTGCCTACCCTGCAACTTTCACAAAATTTTTTTAACTTCATAATTAGTTCTCACTGACAATACTAGTTAATCATCTCCATGCTCATGCACATATCCAGTGTCGTAGGTAATAATACATGAATTTATTAACCACATGACTGGCTGCTACATTGCTTTAATCCTTAATCTTTATTGTATAGTAGTAATTTTTACAAACTGCTAATTGATGTGAATTGTTTTTTATTTCATGCATTTGGTGCACGGTGCGCCCATTCAATTTGGAGCACTAGCTTATCTTTGGGCTCAGACCTGATCTTACCACAACACATAGTAACTAGGGTCCGAATGCCCAAGGTTTGGGCCATCCTAATCAATAGTGGAAATAGCCTATATGTTTCGTCCATATTCTATTTTTGTTCTGCTTTTGACTTTTTTTTTAAAAAAGAAAAAAATTAAAATACTTCCAGGCTAGAAACATATAGATAACTATGAAATAATTATATATGTTCAATGTTTTATTAACTTCAATTATTTGATTGTGTGATTTCAGGATACACTGTGCCATAAAAATCAAGTTCGACCGGATAAGAAGTCATGATATGGAGCCTTGCAGTCAACTTTTTCTTAGTAGTAGTAGTTAGTTTAAATAATAAATAAGGAGATTGTTTGCTCTCTTTTGTGATGACGACGATGTTACTATATTATGATGTACTCAGTTGTATTCGAACTATGATATAAAATATAACTTCTTTCCAATATGTGTACTATAGGCTATCGTTTTTATTAATAACTCCACCTAACGAGAGAGAATTTTTCCTGCTGAGCATTGAACATACTTCATTCTTGGCTACTTCTCCTCATAACTTTTTCGGGTAATTAACTGGAAAAATCAATTTTCAGATTAAATTCTAATTTTTTATAATGTAACGCAATAATTGAGAAGACATGCTACACCCAAATAGAATGCATGTGAAAGATAATCCATATGTTGCAAGAGGACTTTTGTTACATTTGAGCTACTAGCTAGTGCTGCAAACGACAGTATGAAGAATAAGGTTGTAGCATCTGCGAATTATCATAATTTAAAAAGAAAGCCTGGTGAAGAAAAAATTGTGTAGGTCATCGTAGGTCCATAATTGATGGGAGCAATCGCCTGGCCTCTCCAAGCCAGGTGAGTGGATGTTGTGGGCCAAAACAAACAAAGATTCGAAATTTTGTTTTCTTTGTTATTAGCCAATGTATCCAAGAATCCACTCTAAAGGGTGGGGGATGTAATAATCAGAATTTGAACACTTATTATGATTTAGATTGAAATGTAAATAATTACTGAAAATCAATATGGAATTTATATATCACCAAAGCGTATCAGTGTTGTTAGTTATTATTAAGTATTACTGATGATAAAATTGTGGAGAATTAGACCTTTTTCCCTAAATCCAGTCTAATTGGGACATACCATGTTTTATTTTTGAATTTATATGTTCATAATGGAAAAAAAAGGTACCCTGAATAAGAATATGATTTTCAATTTTGAAAGATTATTGTCAAATTATCTTAAAATGAATGAACCAAAAATATCAATTAAATTGCCAAATGCATACATGTATTTAATTACTAAGTAATAAAAAAAGTAGTGCTCTCAATGATAATATTTACACTAGTTTAAAGCATATGATTAGGTATAAGTAAATATAAAATGGTTTATTTGGGATATCCTACTAAGGCTACTTTTGGTGTCATGACTCAGAAAGGTGGATTTGTGATCGGCACTAGGATTAGGATAATTCTGTCACGGCCCGACCCAGGCCCTGACTGGCACTAGGGTCCCCAACCCTAGTCAGCCTCTCTGTCACGAACATATACCAAAAATTAATCTAAACATTCATATATACATATCCATTTCAAATTGTTATTTACAATTCAGGATGCTGCCCGAGGGATAAGGGGAGCTCTAGAGTACAAAACAATAAATAGAGAACTCGCCCGTACAATGACTGAAGTGGCAAACAATCGTCTCGATCATCGCACGCAACCCGAGATCAATAACCTATATCTGGAAAGGTTATAATAGGTGAGTCGCGAAACTCAGTGAGTACGGACGATACCTACTCTATGCATGACAGAAAATGAATCATGTCACAGTTCAAACCATACCTATATATGCAGCCATTAATAACACATTAACTATACTCTAAAAGACATCGCTAACCACGTATCACATCCCATCACATCAGTTCACACCACAACACTGGACCCAGGTCCACTCACCACTAGATGCTACGGATCACCGTACCCCAGCCGAGTTCCTGGCATCGCAGTTACCCACCACCGACCCAGCCGCTCACCACTGGACGCTACGGACCGTACTCCGGCCGAGTTCCTGGCATCGCATATTAACTCGCCAACCCAGGCCGCTCACCACTGGACCCTACGGACCCGTACTCCAGCCGAGTTCCTAGCATCGCTGGTAACTCGCCCGACCCAATCTGCTCACCACTGGACCCTACGGATCCGTGCTCTAGCCGAGTTCCTGGCATCCCCACATCACAACACACAACACCATCCGCACACACACATCAAGAACATATACACATACTCATCCTCAATTCACATCTCCCAAAATCAGTGGTACATACTAACAGTTTACAAAACACAAAGCACGCATTCCAAGATTCATATACCAAACACAATCTCGCAAACCCCATGCAGACACCATACCAGAAAGCAGTATGCAACGCAGGTATAGAGAGGGTACCATCACTCACCGTGTGGGCAGAACCTAACAAAAGCCTCAGGTCACGTCAATCAACCCTCCGATCCTGATGCTCCTCCATGAGTGAACCTGAAGTCAAAATCATACAAACGTCACCGATCTCATCGTCAGTACCCAACGGCTCGACAGCCCAAACAGGACTTAAACTAATCCCGTACTTGACACGCATCCCAAGACACCCTTACCCATCACCAGATCCGTGTGACCCACTAATACTCATACTTCGGCTTAACAACCCTTAACAGTAAAGGACAGCCTCCCCAACCCCAACCCATAGTGAACCGGTCTCTGAAACCCTTGAACCGTCTAACCAAATCCAAAACTATCTCGAACTCAACTCGATTGGTCATAAAACCCACAAAAATGGACTCAGAAGGCCCAAAGCCCTTAAGAACCATGTTAAACCCAAAAACCCTTAAGGTTAGGCGCCGGGGGCCAAAAACCCTAAGTCAGGACATCGGCACACACACCAAGGCCGGTTCACCTTAAACACAGACCTCAAACATCACCAAATTTCATAGTCAACTAGGTTTCATCATGTTGAACCAGGAATGGTCCAACTTGCCTAAGAACTGGCCCAAAAATCGGTGAACGGTCGCCCGAATGAATTTCACTAAACCGGCCGGTTCACCTCGAATCGGGCACCCAAAATTTTCCGAACTCACTTGGTTTGATAGGTATTTTCTCCCTGAATCCAGAATCGGTCCAACTTTCTAAATCCGAGTCCGTTTGACCACTGAACCGACCAATCAACCTTGGATCGTCTCTGCCAGTTCAGTCAACTCCAAATCCTTATTCTAGAAATCCCGGGCTATACTAATCCCCTGCTATTCCAATCTGGCCTTATCCCAATTTTCTATCCTCCTGGAATATGCCTATCCCAATTTCTTTCCCGGGTTAACTCAGCTGAGTTGACCCGGTTCTTTCTTCACGCTGGGTCGACTCAGCCCTGCCCTCCTCTGCTTGGGCTGGCCCGCGGCTCAGCCCGCGCCCTTACGGCTCATCGGGTCGAGCCCATGGGCTGGGCCCCAACCCAGCCAGAACCGGGCCTGAGCAGGCCTGGCTTGCTCTCGGACAGACCCGGTTCCACCCGGGTCTGTCTTCTCTACCCAAGCGCCCCCTCAGCCCGACCTGCAACCCCCCTCCCCCTCGGGTTGGCCCTTGGCTCAAGCCGTGGGCCAGCGACTCGGATAGGCCGAGCCCAAGCCCACGGCTCCGGCCGACCCTGATGCAGGACCCAACTCAGCTGGGTCCTTCCCTGTCGCCCGACTGGGCACCACCGAACCATCCGGGTCTGCTCATAGACCCGGATCTTCAAACCTATTAAAACAAAGCAATTCCTACATACCTGGCTCAATTAAAGATCAAGAGCTCCAAAATCAGATCCCACGAACTGCATCGAGCTGTTCAATTGAAGCAAAATGGACTGAATCACCTCAATTTTTCAAAAAATTTTCCAGTTCTCGCGCGGATGCCAATGAACCCAAACTCCCGAATTCTCTCCCTTCTCTCCCTGAAACCTCTCAATTAATCGAGGGCTTCAGTAGGTTATCTAAAAAACGCACGCAACGGTGCAGGAATTGACGAAACCCATCATCAATAGACGGTCAATTTGGCCAAAAACCACCGGTCGGTTACTGTTCATGCCGAATTTTGCTTAATCTCAATCTGGTCCCTCAACTTGATACTTTCTACAATCCAATCCCCCTTATTTTCTGTTATATTCCATTTAATCCAAAATTAATTAATTAAACTAAAAATAAAAATCAGGTTATTACAAATTCGAACCCCGCAAACCTCTCACGCTCGGAAACTCTACATAAATCAAAATAAAACTGACTTAATTCATTACCCAAAGTCTGATACAAAATTTTAAAAACTCCAATACACTTATCAACGTTCAAAATACAATCATATATACTAAATCATGTCTTCATATTGGAAATTCTGTTTAGAACACAAATTATCACATCAGAACAGAAACAACATGTAATAACGGATTTTTCAAAAAAAAAAAGACAGAAGGAGAAAAGTTCTGGTCGAAAATCGGCCAGAACACCCCTGTATCAGGATTGCTCCAATAGGTAGAAGCAATCCAATCCAACACTAAAGTCACTTTAAGATTTTGTACAAAAAGCAAAAGTGAATCTAGGTGTGTAAGTTAATCAAAGACTTTGTGAGAAAAGAAGGGAAAAGCTGGGTTGAAAAGCGTGCATGGACGGAGCAAAAACTAGAGAATCCGAGCATTTGGTGGGAATTTTCACTAAAGCTTTCGTGTGTGTTCGTTGATTGTAGAAGATCAATTTTCGAAAGCTTCACTTAGTTGGGTAAGATGAATTTTGTGGTTTCTGGGATTAAAGGGGTGTTCAGGTTTGCTACAGAAGCCCGGATCTGTGATCCGGGCTTCCGGGTAGAGAAGACGGGACCCGGATGGGTTCGAGTCCCGTATAAGGGTCGGGTTGGGCCGTTGGGCCCAGGCTCAGGCCAGATAGGATGGAGGCCGCGGCTGAGCCACGGGCCAACCCGGGTGAAGTCGGGCCGGTCGACCCGCTGGGTTGACTCGGCCTAGTGAATAAGGGTTACGGGTCAACTCGGTCGAGTTGACCCAGGATGGAATTGGGAATAGCTTTATCCCAGGAGGATAAGAAATCAGGGATAAGGCCAGATTGAGGATAACAGAGGATAGCATTAACTCGAATTTCTGGGATTAGGGTTTGGAGAGTTGACTGAACCGGCCAGAATCGGTTTAATGTTTGACCAGCGGGTTCAGTGGTCAAATGGACTCGGATTTGAG